GACCAATGAAAAGAGGCCTTTTTTTTCTAGAAAACTGGTTTAATGTTCCTACATCAAGAACCCATAAAAATATGATCAAAATAAAATGTTTGTCTCGTCAAAGAAAGGGTTAGATTTTTACAGCCATAGTTTTTCCTTCATGTGCTCGATTACCTCACCAAACACAACGGCTGCCTATTGGCTTGTCCTCGAACTTAAATAAGCAGAAATGTAAAAACAAGATAGGCATTTAAAAGTGTCACAAAAGTAAGAACTGAAAAGGTTTGATTTTGTTTAGGAATGGAAACTAAAAAGACTTCAGCGGAGAAATAAAACAACTGGACTCAAATTAATAAGACATTTTCTATAAATGCAAAATAGGTAAAGAGCCTTTCCTCTAGGTTTTATTATATTGAATTAAATTAGGATCTATTTCTGTAAACACTTGAAAAAAATTGACAAATAAAGAAGTAAAAAAAATACATCAAAGGTAAAGTTTTACATTTAAACAGCCAAACTGGAGATGGAGATCTTTTATGTGAAAATAAAATACTTAAGCACATTAAGCCAACATATACTGAGCAGCTGTTGTGTTTTAGTTGGTAAAATTCAAAACCACAGAGTCGTGTACGATGCGAGCCACAGACGGACGGCAAAGTGCTTACATACTGAGAATAATAAATGAGGCTGTTTCCTTTGATTCTCTCAGTCATTTACTGCATCGATTGTTTGTTGGCTGTATGGACAACTCAGAGCCCGCATATTGGATCGGGTCATCACCTTATAAACACACTCGACGCCTCCTCAATACAGTCTGACTGCATCACCACGGATGGATAGAGAGATGGATTAATAATGAACACACACACACACACACACACACACACGCACGCACACACACACACACACACACACACACACACACACACACACACACAAGTTCGACTAGCTTATGATCACCGTTAGTCCTCGACTTTGTTTAAATTATTATAATTTTTTTTCATTTTTCATTTATTGACATTAAAATAAAAATACAGAAAAAATTACTACAAGCCAAAATGAAAAAGGGGACAGAAAGAAGAAAAACGTATGTTATCTGCCCCTTTTAACTAAAATAACATTAATACAAAAAAAATTGAACAATATAGTTCCTGGACTGGTTGGCCCACACAATCTCAACCCATGAATCGAAAAAAAGAGAAAACGAGTTACACAGAGAGAAGCATAAAGTTATAGACCTCTATACATACATATATACACAAATGAATACATGGACTTGTTTCCTTTTTTTTTCATCCCCCCAACCCCCCTTCCCTCACACATTTATGTAACGGATCTATATAGGTTAATCATTTCATTTTTTATCTCTTTTTTGAAAGTCAATATTGTTTTTGCATTCTTGATTTCAGTATTTAATTTATTCCACATCATTTGACATCATTGGGTTGAAGGATCAGACAAAGAGCAGCCCGAAGACCTCTTATGATGAATTATATAAATGGAAACCGTGTTCCCTCGCCTGGACGTGGGTCACCGGGGCCCCCCTCTGGAGCCAGGCCTGGAGGTGGGGCACGTTGGCGAGCGCCTGGTGGCCGGGCTTTCACCCATGGAGCCCGGCCGGGCACAGCACGAAGAGGAAACGTGGGTTCCCCTTTCCATGGCCTCACCACTCGTGGGAGGGACCAAAGGGGTCAGGTGCAGTGTGTGACGGGTGGTAGTCGAGGGCGGGGACCTTGGCGGTCTGATCCTCGGCTACAGAAGCTGGCTCTTGGCACATGGAATGTCACCTCTAGTGAGGAAGGAGCCTGAGTTGGTGTGCGAGGTTGAGAGATTCCAACTAGATATAGTTGGACTCACCTCAATGCATGGCTCAGGCTCTGGAACCAGTTTCCTTGAGAGGGGTTGGACTTTCTACCACTCTGGAGTTGCTCCCACTGAGAGGCGCCGGGCAGGGGTGGGCATAATAGTTGCCCCCCATCTTGGTGCCTGTACGTTGGGGTTTACCCCGGTGAATGAGAGCGTAGCCTCCCTCCGCCTACGTGTGGGGGGACGGGTTCTGACTGTGGTCTGTGCTTAAGCACCAAACTACAGTTCAGACTACCCACCCTTTTTGGAGACCTTGGAGTGGGTGACTCCCTCGTTCTGCTGGGGGACTTTAACGCTCACGTGGGAAACGCCAGTGAGACTTGGAGAGGTGTGGTTGGGAGGAACGGCCCCCCTCATCTGAATTCGAGTGGTATTTTGTTATTGGACTTCTGTGCCAGTCATGGATTGTCCATAATGAACACCATGTTCAGACATAAAGGTGTCCATATGTGCTCTTGGCACCAGGATACCTTAGGCCGCAGCTCGATGATCGACTTTGTTGTTGTTTCATCTGACCTGTGGCCGCATGTCTTGGACACTCGGGTGAAGAGAGAGGCGGAGCTGTCAACTGGCCATTACCTTGTGGTGAGTTTGCTCAGATGGTGGGGGAGGATGCCGGTCAGACCAGGCAGGCCCTAACGTATCGCGAGGGTCTGCTGGGAATGTCTGGCAGAGTCACCTGTCAGAAGGAGGCGGCCAACCGGAGCTGTGGTCGCAGGATTGTCGGTGCCTATCGTGGTGGCAACCCCCGAACCCACTGGTGGACACCGGCGGTTAGGGATGTTGTCAAGCTGAAGAAAGAGTCCTATCAGGACTTTTTGGCCTGTGGGACTCCAGAAGCAGCTGACGGGTACCGGCAGTCCAAGCAGAACGCGGCTCGGGTGGTCGCCGAGGCAAAAACCCGGACGTGGGAGGAGTTCGGTGAGACCATGGAACAAGACTTCCGTACGGCTTCAAGGAGATTCTGGTCCACCATCCGACGCCTCAGGGTGGAGAGCAGTGCGCTACCAACACTATTTATAGTGGGGACGGTGTGCAGCTGACCTCTACTCAGGGCGCTGTGGATCGGTGGGCAGAATACTTCGAAGACCTCCTCAATCCCACCGACACGTCTTCCAGTGAGGAAGCAGAGTCTGGGGACTTTGGGTTGGCCTCTCCAATCTCTGGTGCTGAGGTCACTGAGGTGCTTAGAAAGCTCCTCTGTGGTAAGGCTCCAGGGGTGGATGAGATCCGCCCGGAGTTCCTTAAGGCTCTGGATGTTGTGGGGCTGTGTTGGCTGACGCGGCTCTGCAATATCGCATGGACATCGAGTGCAGCACCACTGGACTGGCAGACCGGGGTGGTGGTTCCCTTGTTTAAAAAGGGGGACCGCAGGGTGTGTTTTAACTACAGGGGGATCACACTCCTGAGCTTTCCTGGTAAGGTCTATTCAGGGGTTCTGGAGAGGAAGGTCCGTCGGATTGTTGAGCCTCAGATTCAGGAGGAGCAATGTGGTTTTCGTCCTGGCCGTGGAACACTGGACCAGCTCTATACCCTTAGGGGGATCTTGGAGGGTGCGTGGGAATTTGCCCAACCAGTCTACATGTGTTTTGTGGATTTGGAGAAGGCGATTGACCACGTCCCTCGGGGGACCCTGTGGGGGGTACTCCGGGAGTATGGGGTACCAGGCCCTCTGAAACAGGCTGTTAGGTCCCTGTATGACCGGTGTCAGAGCTTGGTCCGCATTGCCGGCAGTAAGTCGGGCTCGTTCCCAGTGAGAGTTGGACTCACCGATTCTGTTCATAACCTTTAAGGACAGGATTTCTAGGCGCAGCCAAGGTGTTGAGGTCTGTTTTGGAGGCCTGAGGATCAGGTCTCTGCTTTTTGCAGATGATGTGGTCCTGTTGGCTTCATCAGAACGTGATCTTCAGCTTTCGCTGGAGTGGTTTGCAGCTGAGTGTGAAGCAGCTGGGATGAGAATCAGCTCTTCTAAATCTGAGACCATGGTCTTGAGTCAGAAAAGGGTAGAATGCCTTCTCCAGGTCAGGGATGAGGTCCTGCCCCAAGTGGAGGAGTTTAAGTATCTCGGGGTCTTGTTCACGAGTGAGGGAAAACTGGAGCGTGAGATCGATAAGCGGATTGGTGCTGCATCTGCAGTGATGCGGGCGTTGTACCGGTCTGCCGTGGTGAAGAGAGAGCTGAGTCAGAAGGCGAAGCTCTCGATTTACCGGTCGGTCTACGTTCCTACCCTCACCTATGGTCATGAGCTTTGGGTAGTGACCGAAAGAACGAGATCATGGATACAAGCGGCCGAAATGAGTTTTCTCCACAGGGTGGCTGGGCTCTCCCTTAGAGACAAGGTGATACACTCGGTCGTCCGGGAGGGGTTCGGAGTAGACCCGTATCGTTACGGTTTGTTCTAATGGGAAACAGGCTTCAACACAAACGGTTGTTTTCTGCTTGGTCCTAGAGCTCAACCAGTGTCAATTTAATATAGCGTAATATGGTTTTTGGATGGTAAAAAAGTGCAGGGGTCAAAACTTGACTCTGGAAAAAGTGGGGGGGACATGTCCCCGCTGTCACCCCCCCAAAATTATCCTGTTTCCCCCAGCGAGAGCTGCCATTAACGGCGCTCAGCCACTGTACAGTCACAGGTGGGAGGGAGATCTTGGGAGAAGCGCAGAGCACATTGACTCCTGCAGGTTGATGACCTCGCCAGGCTGAAGTCCACCAATCCGAAGGCGGGGGGGGGGGGGGGGGGGGGGGGGGGGGGTCGGGTTTTCACAGCATCTGTCTGCATTCCTTCGTGGGGGTTTGTTGCTGCTCAAGGCTACCAGGGCGTCAGATGCGGATAACAAGAATTTGTTTGGGTCACGCTGAGATATCACTGCTCATAGCAGAATATCCTGAAAGAGCATATCTGACCTTTTACCTTTAACAAGTCGTTCCTGCTGGAAAATCCTCCAATCCTAACAATGGTGGGATTTTGTAGGTGTGCTACCTGTATAAGTTACGCATAAATAAAAGTGCTCTGATAAAGAGAAAAGTGAGTAAAAATAAAAGAAGTAACGGGACTAAATATGAGACCTAAACAGAAACTGACGTGGCTTATTTGTAAATAACATGGTTAAAACATTAAAATTTAGTCTCTAAATGCTGCTTTTTCTGTGTTTCAGATTTATGACTCAGAAGGAACTCTACAACACTTTATTGATGGAAATGATCCCAGTAAATCCAGTTGGATGAGGTATATTCGCTGTGCCCGACACTGTGGAGAGCAGAACATGATGGTTGTACAGTACAGGTAGGAACCTGCTGCTCAGATGAATTAGTGGTAATGTTGGAAGCAGAAAAAGTAAAAATATGGAAACAATTATGCTCCATCACACCATCTCCAGATGATTTTACAATCATCTTTTGTATGCTCATTCTGTGTTTCTTCTACTGCATTACTTGGTTCTTTTCCAACTCGGTAAAGGAGTTGTTTTACTTGCCTTTGCTGTTGTTTTGGGTAACGTTGTAGCCTTCCTCAGAGCTCACCGCTGTTGTCGGCGTCACTTCCTTCTCTGTTTGTCCGCGGGCAGCAAAGGTCGGTATAGCCCTCTGCTGCTTGCGATCTCCTCTCCGAAAAGCACCAGAAATCCAGAAAAATAAGAACCAAAACCAGTGATAACCCTTTCATACATCAAAGGCATAACAGAAAAAAATAAGGGCAACAATGAAAAAAAAACACAACATAAACACACCAACATAACCATGCATAACATTTAGAAAAAGACTACTTCACCTAAAAGATCAGCAGGACACAAGTGTGGAGTCATTTATCAAATCCCATGCAAACTTTGCAATAAAACATATATAGTAGAAACCGGATGCCAGCTCAACACAAGAACAACAGAACATAGAGAACCTAGAGTGTGAGAAAGAAACAAGCCGAAGATGCACAAGAGCAGCAAAACAAGAAGTAGGAAGTACAATAAAGAAATCGGCTGTACCAGGCCACTGCACCAGGGAGAATCATATAACGGACCGGGATCAATCAATCAATCAATCAATCAATCAATCAATCAATCAATCAATCAATCAATTCAGTGCAATTGCATTACTTCTGGAGAAATTAGAGGAGCGCAAAAATAGATTTAAGAAGTGGATTGCATCTCCAAACTCCACTACTGCTGCAAGTTTTGTTGCAACCCGGGAGATAATAAAGCGTGGAAAACCGTTCACAGATGGTGACTACATGAAGGAGTCGTTCATCAACATATCAGAACACCTATTTGCAGACTTAAGAAACAAAACTGAGATAAGACAGTGAAGGAAAGGGCCATTAAAATGGCAGGCAACATTACCGATCAGCAAATCAAGGACATTAATTCAGCACCAGCATACTCAATTGCCTGTGATGAGTCGCGTGATCTTCCGGCACTCGCAGAGTACAGACGCTTCTGCTTTTGCTCCCTTATCTTCTTTTTCCCAAGGCTCTTTGTCCTGTCTGCCTACAGAGCGCTTCTCTGCATTTCTTCTGACAATCCCTATTTTTTGGAAATGGACTTAATTAACTGGTCATTCATCGCCATTGATAAGATTTTTTCTACAATGAGAACGGAGGAGGGGGCTCCCACTTGCCCTCAAGGGACACACGCAGCAGGATATGCGCTCGATTCCTGGAAAGAATGGAGGATCGTATGCCTCTCTCAGTTGTCCATTGAGGATGTCGAAGATATGTGGATATTTGGTCTGATGATCACTGGATTTCTTCTGATTGGAGTGGGAGGATATCTAGTTTTCTGTAAATTTGGGAAGACGGGAGCGATTGGAGGGCGACCCGCACCCACGGAAAGCACCGCCCGGGCGGATGCCTCACAGACTGGGACGTTACTCGAGGTGAACCGTAAGCTGGACAATGTCCTAGCTGCGTTACCGGTATGAGTGCACAAAATGGACGTCATCTCAGAGAGGGTCACCGGACAGTGTGGAGATGTTTAAAACCTGAATTGGCTTCACTGGAGGACTTGAATGATCGGTTACAGACTGAAGGCAGAGAGGAAAATGATCTCTGCCTGACCCAAACAAAGTCTTGTTATCCAAATCTGACGCCAAGGTAGCCTTCAAGCTGCTAACAACAACCCCCACTAAGGAAGGAATGCAGACAGATGCTGTGAAAACCCGACACCCCCCAAGCCCCCCCCCCCCCCCCCCCCCCCCCCCGCCTTCGGATTGTGGACTTCTGCCTAGCAAGGTCATCAGCCTGCAGGACTCAATGTGCTCTGCACTCCTCCCAAGATCTCCCTCCCACCTGTGGCTACAGTTGGCTGAGCGCCATACAGGGCTGCTCCCACTGGGGAAACAGGATCCCAGCACCACCCCCCCCCCCCACCCCCCCCACCCCCCCCCCGCCTCCCTATCGGACTTTCCTGTTGTGAACTGTGATGTTCGTGCTTATATGTTTGAGGCATTTTTTTTGCATAGTAAAGCTACGCCCTGCCGGGAGTAACTCTGGTATGCCTTTTTTTCCCTCCCCCAATTTATCCTCATGTAATTCCCTTTTCATCTATTAAGGTAGCGCGACTCGTGTTGCGAAGGACCACAGTCACCAATTCTTCTCATGTGTCTTGCCCATGTATGTCTGATCTCTGAATTGTGTGTACTGAAACTCTAATTTCCCTCTGGGATTAATAAAGTTTTGATTGATTGATTGATGTGATCGATATTGAACAGACTGCGCTTTTATGCAGGTATGTGAATTCCGATGGGCCGCAAGAAGAAATGGTCCAGTTAATACCACTGAAAGGCCAAAAACGGGGGGAGGACATATGCGAGGCTGTGCTAAAGTGTTTAAATGACAATGGAATAAACACCAACCACCTGATTTCAGTGGCTACGGATGGGGCACCCAGCATGAGAGGATCAAAAAGGGGGTTTGTGACTTTTCTACAGAAAGCATTGGATCAAAATCTGCTTGCATTCCACTGCATCTTGCACCAAGAGGCACTGTGTGCACAAACATTCCCATTGGAGTATATGGCGGTGATGAACCTTGTCATCGAGATGGTGAACAAGATAATTGCAAAAGCATTGAATCACCGTCAGTTCCGTGCATTGCTTGATGAAGTTGACAGCCAATATTCCGATCTCCTGCTACACAACAAAGTCCGATGGCTGTCCAGGGTGAGCTTTTGCGTTGCTTTGTCGCTTGTTTAGAACACGTGAAAACATTCCTGAAAAGCAAAGACCTGAACTACCCGCAACCGGAAGACACGGAGTGGCTCGAAAAACTGCACTTTTTGGTGGATATGACGAGCCACCTAAACAAGCTGAATGAAAGTGTCCAGGGGCGGGGAAACGCTGCACTGCAAGTGCTGGAGGCTGTTTTGTCATTCGAGCTGACTGTCTTAGCCAGAGATGTACAGCGAGACACGCTCTTCCACTTCCCATCCCTGAGAGAATTTAAAGAAGCCCATCACCATCACACACTCAACGGTGATTATTTACAAGGTGCGATCGTTGATATGCAAACTGCATTTGGGAGCAGATTTTGCGAGTTCCGAAAGGAAAAAATGACACTGTCTTTCCCTGTCACACCGCTGGAGACTTACCTGTCCTTGTTGAGCACATTTCCAGGAGTAAATCAAGCTGACCTTGAAATGGAAATGGCTGATATAGCCGACAAAGATTTACGGGTGTCCAAATTCAAACGTTTGACAGCCGAGCTTGAGGACGTCACTCGCCAGAAAGCCCAGCTTGCCCAAAGCCACAAATGGAGCGAAATTGAAAGCCTCCCAACACCCGAGAAACTTGTTTATGACACATGGAATGCTCTTCCTGACAGTTATAGGAACATGAAGACATATGCATTTGGAGTATTATCCATCTTCGGATCAACATACCTGTGAGAGCAGATATTCTCAAACATGAACTACATCAAATCAAAATATCGCACCCTCCTCACAGATGAGAGCTTGCAGTCCTGCGGCAAGATTAAAGTTACGTCTTACAGGCCCGATGTTGAGAAGCTGACCGGTGATGTCCGAAAGCAGAAGTCACATTAAACGTGTAAGTACACAATTCTGTCACAGGCACATATTTAGTAACGAAGTGGCTGTTTTTATAAAGTGATTTCTGATTTTTGTCAGTATGTATTTGGAGTGACACTTAGGGATATTATTGTGTTTTGTTGCTCAGGTCCGAACATAGCTGCGTTGGTTGCTTGTCAAAAGAGAAGAGGATGCTGCTGCGTTTTACCCTTGCACTGACTTGCTTGGCATTTGCACAGAAATCAAACTTAAACTGTATTAATTTGATTTTATATACTTTACATTTTCAAAAAGCTGCTGTTTTATTTTTATAAATGCAGGCTGCGTTTTATTGCACTCTGTTTGTTGCCCCGATGAGGGGCACGTTATGCACGTTCCATTTTGTTGTTGTTTTTTCGAATCCTCTAAATAAAAATGACATCAAAAATCGGATTTCTTTATTGCATTTCTTTAATTTCATCAAAGCAATGAAACATGATTCATTAATACTGTAATGAAGTTAAACTTGAGGCGGCATCGTACAACAGAGTAGTCACATGGTGCGTCATACAGGATGCGCTACAGGGAAATTAAACATTTAATCATGAAGGCTCATTATGTATTTGTATTCCATTTTGATAGTAGGCTAAAATAGATACATACAGCATGTGTTACCTTCATTATAAGGCTTTTAATTTTTTGCAGCTCCAGACATATTTGGTTTTTTTGGTTCAATATGGCTCTTTCTACATTTTGGGTTGCCGACCCCCGGGTTAAGGTCTGGACTCTGTGGTGGCCGATCCATGTGTGTCCATTATGTCTCATGCTTCCTGAACCGCTCTTTCACAATTTGAGTCTTGGAGTATGGCCGTGCCAGCAGGGAAAATCGAATAACCTGGTTATTTAGTATATTCAGGTTGTCAGCTGACCTCATTCTTGGAGCACATCCTGTTGCCGAACCTAGACCTGACCAACTGCAGCAAGCCCAGATCATAGCACTGCCCCCACAGGGTGCGCACGTGTGTGTGTGTGTGTGTGTGTGTGTGTGTGTGTGTGTGCGCACACATTCCAAATGTTTCCTGTTAAAGATCTCAGAACTTCCTTGTGTTGTTACGGTAAATAACTTTAAGATTCCGGTCGTGTACCTGTAAACACACACTTTGCTTGGCAGGAATTAACAGCCTAACGTTCTGCTCTTCTGGTCAGTTTTAAGCTTCATATCTTCAGTGAAGCTCGACTCTTACAGGTGATGTATGGTTTTTTTTTTTTTTGTTTTTGTTCCAGACCTTCATGTTTCGCACTTTAAACAAACCTTTGTTGGAATGAAAATCTTTAATATTATCATTTTTGTACAAACCAAAAGTGGTCAAAAGGTGCTCCGTGGATCTCAAAATGAGTTATGTTTTAATGCAAACATCTCCAAATAAACACAGACAGTCTGATCTGTGGTGTCCTCGTTTGTAAGCTGATTCATAAAAAGTCTCAAAACTGTCAAAAGAACATAAATGTCATTAAACACAACTTCTGACATATTATATTGATATAGCTGAATACAATTTGACAGATTGTGTTAAAAAAGGCACAAAAACAATCCGTTTTATTTAAATGACCTTTAACCTTTTCTGCAATTCCATTTCCCCATTCCATTTATTTGATAAAGCACATTTAAAAACAGCATGTGAGCTGACCAAAGTGCTGTACAGGGGTAAAAACATATAAGGTTAAACGAATAATATAAAATAATAAAACAACTAGAGCATGGCACAAAGAACCAACCAAGAGAAGTCAATAAAATCGGTAAAAGAACAGTGTAAATAAACCATCGATAAAATAGCTAGGCAGTAACAGCAAGGGAAAAAAAGTAAGTCTTTAAGTGAGACTTAAAAACCCCAAAGGAGGAGGAGAGTCTGATATTCAGCGGGAGATCAATCCAGAGTTTCGGAGCGCAGACAGAAAAAGCTCGTTCACCATGGGTTTTGCAGCGTTGACGGGGAATCTGTAGTAGGTGTAGGTCACCTGAACGGAGAGTCCTGCCCGGCACATAAGGAGTGAGTAACTCGGATATGTAAGGTGGTGCTAAGCCATTCAGCGCCTTAAAAACAAACAATAAAATTTTAAAATGTATACGGTAGTGCACAGGAAGCCAGTGAAGTCTTGCCAAAATTGGAGTGATGTGCTGCCGACGGCCAGTATTGGTCAGAAATCTTGCGGTCGCATTTTGTATCAGCTGAAGGCGAGATATTGTGGCTGTTGAAATGCCAAACAGAATCGCATTGGAGTAGTCCAACCTTGAGGTGATGGTTGTCTCGAGGTGGCGCCGATTCAGAATGGGTTTTAGTTTGGAAAGACGTCTCAGCTGATAAAAACATGAATGCTGGCCGCCTAAATACTTGAAGTAAAGGAAATAAATGCTAATTTAAAGATTTTGTTCAACTTGTGCTAAACGAGGCAAAGACGTTTAAATGTTAGTAAGAAAGATCCAGAACTCTGAATCTGGACAGCCGTCTCTGAACGAAGCCCGGCCCTAAAAGTTCTGACTGACCCGATGTGACCGGAAGGGTTCAGAGACGGCAGCTGTTAGGAGATGCTACACATTCTCCTGTCTGCGGCTTTCTCCACCTGCTGCTGAATCCACTCGTTGGTTTCCTGTTGATGGATCAGCGTCAGCTCTTCTATGTTCTTCCTGATGTCTTCGTTGCTATGGAAACAAAGTGATGATTTCAGCTCTTTCATTTCCTCCTCTTGTCGTTTCCTCATCTTTTTGAAGTTTTTGTCACACACTTTATCTTTCTTCAGCTTCCTGATGATGTCTTCCTTTTCCTTTTGGTGCTCCAGCTTCAGATGCTGGATGTCTTGTCCTAACTTCTCAAACTCCGCGGTGACGTCACATGTGTATTTGTGTCTGAACTGGTTGCATTGTTCAGCTTGTTTTCTGGCCTTCTCATAATGTTTCCTCTCCATTTCCTCCAGTTGCTTTTTAAACATTTCTTTTGCTTCTTTCCATTCTCTTTCCTCTTGTTCTCGTCGGATTTCCTTCTCTTTTTGCTTTTCTAATTCATATCTCATTTTTTCCCGCTCAAATTCTTCTCTGAGCCTTTCAAGTCGTTTCTGCTCCTCTTCTCGCCTTTTCTCATCTTCCCGGTTTTGTTTCTCCCACCATTCCCTCCTCTCCTGTTCCCTCATCTCGCTTTCTTTTCTTATTTCTTCTTTGCTTTGTAATAATAAACCCTCCGTTATTAATCGACTTTCAGGTCTCATTTTTTTCAGTAGGAGATCTCTTTTATAATCCCATTCTCGTTGCAGCACTTGCTCCTCCCTTTTCTTGTTCATCTCCTCCTCCTCCCTTCTAATCTTCTCTTCCTCCTTCCTAATGTTCTCCTCCTTTTCTCTGACTCTTTGAGCGTTTTGTGCCGCTTTTTGTTGAAATGTAGCAAAGTCCCCTGACGATCTGTTTTTTAATCGCATTTTATCTTCAAGTCGTTCTCTAAAGTCTGTCATCTTTTTCTGCATCTCTTCATCCTTCAGTATTCTCTCCGTTTCCTGCTGAATGGCTGCTTCTGCTTCTTCAAACATCTCTGAGGTGTAGTAGCCACCGTTATTCTTCCGTACCATTCCATCAACTTTCCCCATCAGCTCGCTGACTTGAGAACGGTCATCGGGATCGTTGTTGTTCAGCACGTGGTATCTCCCCCCACATCCAGCTATCAGTTTTCTGATAAAGTCTCCTCCTTCCGTCATGTACGTCTCAAACGTCACATCTCTGAGCTCATCTCCTCTAGTGAAGACAACAATGATGAAGTCTTTAGACTCCTGGCCAAAGAAATCCTTGATCAGCTCCACGGATGCTCTTTCCTCTGGAGTAACGCGTCCGATCTGTAGGACGAGCAGGAAGACGTGCGGTCCAGGAGCCAACATGCTGATGCATCTCAGCAGCTCCTGTTTCACTTCATCGTTGGACAGAGTCGTGTCGAACAAACCTGGGGTGTCGACCACAGCGACGAGACGGCCATCGACCTCTCCTGTTTCTTTTTGACAATCTCTGGTCACTGAGTTTAGACAGACCTTTGAACTAAAGCATTTTTTACCCAGAATAGTGTTTCCAGTGGCGCTTTTCCCTGAACCAGTCTTCCCAACCAGCACTATCCGAAGAGGCGTTCGGTGCATCGCCATCAGACGTTCTCCAGTTTCATATTTGGACTCCTGATTTATTTCAAATGTAGCTACACCTTCTGCTAGCTTGTTGTTTTCCTTCTCTGGGCTTTTAGGCTCTTCGTTGTGAGATGGTAATTTTTGTCCTGTAGACTGATTTTGTGGTTTGAGTCCAACGTAAGCTGCAGATGGTTTTCGTTTTACCGTGGAAGGCTTTGGAAACAAGTCTTTGGTGAAGCCATTTGATCCCACAGGTCTCATTTTGTTCACATACTTTATCACGTCACAGACTTTCTCTTTGTTGTTGATGTTGAAGACAACACGTCGTCCACCACATTGTTTAAGGAGCTCTTGGGTGCCCTGGTTTTTCTGTAGAGACTGTAGCACGTTAGAAATGTTGCTGTTTGTCTCCACAGTGTAAAGAATCACTGTGAAGTCCTTGATTCGGGACCTAAAAATGTGCTGGATGGTTTCTAGCTCTTTCATGTCTTCTTCAGTGGGACAATCCAAAGGTAGGACCAACATGAAGGCATGGACACCATCAGGCTCACAACGGGAGATGCACCTAAACGATTCCTTCTTTGCCGTCTCTGTTGGTTTTCCGTACAAGGCTTGGAGCTCCTGTATGGACACCGCATGTCCACACACGTCTTGTTGACTTACATTCATCTCCGAGTCGTTGAGTGAACCAACATATTTTTTTCCGAGGATGGCACGAGCTGCTAAAGCTTTTCTGGCCGAGTGTCTCCCACACAGGACCAGGTTCAGGGGCGGGTTTACAGATGCAGGAACTTCCTTTAGATCAGTTTCTCCCGTATACGTTAAATATCGTCCCCTGTTGTTTCCCACTAAGCTTTCTATTTGTTTCATCAGTCCACAGAGATTATCGTCACACCTCTGACCTAAGTTGATTGCGTAAAGCCTTTGTCTGCATTCTGCGATAAGTTGATTAACAAAGCAATTAATTTTCTCAGCATTATGGGTAGTGATGACTATTGCATAATTAACAGCGTCTTGTCCAAACAAGCTCATGATGAACCTGAGTTTATGTCTGTGTGTCTCGGTGAAGTCTGACGGATTCACCAGCAGCAGAAGGACATTTGGTCCAGGTGGACAGTTGGATGCCCACGTCTTCATGTCTGATCGGATGTTCTCCCCGGAGAAACTAAACAGATCTCCAGTTTTTATTAATGTGAAAGTATTTTGTCTGTATGCGCCGTGAAAAATATGAAAGTTTCTTTTTGTTTTGGCGAAAGAAAACTCTTCTCTTGCATTCATGAGGCTGCACAGTGTTGTCTTGTCATGCTGGCTTTTTCCAAGTATCACAATCCTCCAGTCGGACACTGAAAGAGCAAAGGCATGGAAATGACATTACCACAAAGATGTGGAGTTGAAACGAATGTGGCAAACAGGTTTTGTTTTTTATCATTTATAGAGATGCAATATCTATTGTTTTTCTTTATATCTATTAAATGACAGTTAAAATCTCCTCCTGTGACGGACTAATGGCAGCAAATAGACTGCACCATTTTCCAGACTGTGTTCAGTTCACCCATCTAAAAGCAATTTGGAGCAGATTAATAATAATAATAATAATAATAATAATAATAATAATGCATTGAACTTATATAGCACTTTTCTAGACACCCAAAGACGCTTTCACACACTCTCACATTCACACACTGCTAGTGATGGTGAGCTACTTGTAGCCACAGCCGCCCTGGGGACGTCTGACAGAGGCGAGGCTGCCATTTGGCGCCGTCGGCCCCTCTGACCACCACTAACACAGGCAAGTTGGGTGAAGTGTCTTGCCCAAGGATGCAGCAGCAGGATACCCCTGGCGGGAGCTGGAATCGGACACATGACCCTCCGATCATGAGGCAACCCGCTCTACCACCTGAGCTACTGCTGCCCCAAATAATAATGAGAATATCTGTCGAATTATTTAAAGAGGAAATTACAGCGGGGGCTACCAGCATACCAACATTCCTGGACTGGTTACAACTAGACCCAGAACAGTGTTCTTATTGGGTTCTGTTTAGGAACCATTTGTATTTGTACTAGATTAGGATGTAGCTTTAAACCTACCAGGTGTGGATTCTGCCATCTTTAGAAAACAACTTTTGAATTTCTGTTTTCTGCACCTGAAACAACATGAAATAAAATAGTGGTTGAATAACTAAAGCATATTAGTTGTAAAAACGCACCAGTTTAAGAAGGGCGTGGTTAAATGTCCGTTCAAATATCATTGATGTTAAAATATTTAATTTTTTTAAATTGCTGTGCTAAATAATCAGCTGATCGTAAAAATAAAATGTTTAACATCACTAGGGTTGGGCATCGTTTGATTTTGAACGATTCCGATTCCAATTCCTCGTTTCGATTCCGGTTCCTATCGATTCCCGAAACGTCCAGCTGTTTTCAGCTACAACTCTCAGGATGATCACGTCCAGGATGACTGAGAACTACACCTCCATGCTGCAGCAGCATTCAGTCAGAACAGAAAGTGAAACTTAAACGTAGCTAACAGATTTTAAACATTAAAACTCAACAGAAACAGTTCAGAAAGGAAAGTAAAATGTTCACATCTTTGTGTGTGATTTATTATTATTATATATTTGGCGAGCGGCTGCGTCTGACTGCTGACGCTCCGTGTGTGTTTTTATTTCTGCAGTGAGACAAACTCGCCTCACACCGTCCAGAGTTTGTTCTTTAAAGCTTCTATTAAATCCACCGTGTTGATGTATTTAACACGTTTCCTCTACGCTGCAGGAGTTAAAGTTTACATTACGGAGTAAAAGTTCGGCAGACGCGTTTGTTTATATCTGGGTGGGGGAAGGGGGGACTCGGTGCTGCACACAGACAGCTGGTGTGATCAGCTCTGAAAAGCGTTGATCACAATTTGCAGATCACGTTTATTTTTCACGGAGATCGGATTCCTCTTCCATTCTAGCATTCTAGGAATCGAAAAAAAAACTTTGATCGCTTCCGGGAAAACTAACAGCTGGAACCGGTTCCAGTCGATGCTCGATGCCCAACCCTAAATCACTGACCTGCAGTCAGAACAAGAAATATATAGAAAATACAGAAAAAAACTATCTGTCACACTAACTTCATATTTTGAGGTCCTTTTAAGTAATTTAACAATAACTGACATCAAAAAGAGCACGGACATGGTCAGAGATCCAAATCCTTAACAATAGTGTCTGAGACATCAACATCTTTAATTAAGATTAAGTTTAGTGTGTGCCCTTGAGTGTGTGTTTTGGTCCACGTAGATGTTGTTAAACATCAAATAATTCAACCACTTCATAGAGTTGTTCTGCAGATTTGTCATTAACATCATCAAAGTGAACATCAAAGTCACCGGTTATGAAAGATGTTGGGATAACAAAGAGAAGCTCAGTGATGTTTTCAAGGAAATTAGTGCATGACCCTGGAGGCCTATAGATTACTAACCCTAAGATATTAGGTGTACCTTTCAACTCAAAACAACGACACTCAAAAGAGTCTAGATCACCACACACGAGCTGTTTACATAGTAATGAGTCTTTAAATGTAGCAGCCACACCCCCACCTCTCCTGTCGGACAAAAGCACGTTTAGAGATGTGAAGTTTGGTGGTATAGATTCCATGAGAACCGGTGCGTCGTTAACATTTAACCAAGTTTCAGATAGAAGCATAAAATCAAGATTCAAAGCAGGGATAAAAACATTTTGTGAAAGTAAAAAAAAAAACCTTTGTCCACTAAAAGTTTTACCAGTCTTGGTTAAAATATATCCACCAGTTTATTTAGCTGCAGGTTAACAATACAATAATTAATATCAGCTTTGTTTGGCTACTAAACTTTAGAACCTCTATTGCCGTTTACCACCTTAAAACTAACCTGTGTTGACAAGATATTTAGCTGATTTACAGCTTTTATACATAGATTTTTGTAATTTTACACATGGGAACTAGTTGTTACTGTTACAAGTAGTCGATACTCACCTGATAAGAGCCTCGTTTCTAAAGTTCCAGTCTGAGGGCAAAAATATCTCCTTTACCGTGATGTTTGGTCTCAGGCACCAAAGAACTGGGTTCTGAGTCGACGTTTTACAACTATAGAAATTCAGTTTCTTGTGGAAAGCGGGAACTCAACATGTTAGTTCTATCGCTTCTAGCAACACGTTTGAAGTCTGTCTTTACATAAATCTAGAAAGTTTAAATTGAAGGTGTTCCCTCAAGTCTCTGAAAACTTGTAAGACCCGTCCAACAAGGAACAAGATGACTTTCTATTAAGTCCTGATTGGTTGATGGGATGCGCTTTATGAAGCATGCTTTTAATACTATTTGTCTGACTATCAGTGACTTCAGCTTAACTCGAGGTTAGCTTTTTATTGGACCAGATGATATTCAGCTGACTCTTTGTTTCACATGATGATGTGATATGTTGTTAAACCATGCTCTTGCTTAATTAAAGAGAGGCGGTAAGTCTCAGGTTTTAGATTTGGAAGAAGGATTACTTTTTGTTTTTACTTTCTCTGTAAGATCCACACTAGTCATACTGTTCATGACCAGTTGATCAGAAACCATCACCGTGGTTACCATTCAGAGGAGGAGCAATGGTTGTGCCTGTCTAACCCTGGTTGGACTCACTAAGCCTTTAAAAGGTTTGTTGTGGAGCGTCAGATAAGCTCTGTGGAATTTTTCCATGAATTCTCTGTACGGGAATGCTTGTGTGTAGTAATTTTGGCCTTTCTTTAAATACATATTTTTAAAATTAAAGTTTCACCAAGTTTAACAGCGAGCTTCACAAATATAACAACTCTACTGTCCAAGATACGCAGCTCTGGCTCAGACTTCCTCTATGTTGGAGCGATGCCAGTCATCTGGCAGCGAACAGCAATAAGTCGAGCTGCCGGCTTCAGGAATTTAAAACATGTTTGAGCTCCTTTTCAGTGAAACTTGTTTAGTGACACTAGTCCCTCTTGTAGCTGCCAGGAACTCAAACTGAACTGAAACTCAACTAAAGACTAGAATTCCTCCAATGTGGGGTTTTTGTTTTGTTTTTTGAATTTTTTAATATTTAGTTTGTCTTTTTTATGTGACCAGCTGATTATTTTAGATCTGTCTGTCTCTCAGCTAAACTAAATAAGCTTGCACAGGTTTTACAGAAATCCTGATTAATGTGGGTGGAGCCTAACGAGAAACACCAATACTTGAGTGCATATCTAGTCGTTTCCATGTGGAGCTGAACACAACCAGTGGAACGTAACAGTGGTCAAGTTTTCACCAACAAGTTGACCAAAAAGTAACCTTTCATTTGCAGACACAAACACACCGTCTGTCTGGCCTCCAAATCTAGAAAGTTCTGCCTCGGTTCTTGCTACTAGCCAAAGAAGCCATAACATCTTTGCTCAAGGCCTCATGCGAGACTGCTGCTTCCTCACTATGAATAAAGGTCAACCTCCTCGAAGTTCCTACGTGGAAATAATCAAATGTGTTGAAGCTGTTTAAATCTAATGTTTCAATCATCTTTGATTTAATCAATATCTGTACTAATATAATTATTCATGTTTAACATTGACTTCACTTAAGTTGTAAAACATTCTCATTCACACAGAGTTAACATCTTTGTATCTGAAGGAAGGAGTGACTTCTGAGGTATATTTTGGTAAAGCCCTCAAACGTGTCAAAGTCTGATTTGCCAAATTTGTAGGCAATGTGTTTTAATAAAACAGGAGTTACTTCCCGATTATTTCAGTTTCTCGCTGACTTCCGATTCGGCCAAATCGGGGAAAAGGCATTTTGAAACCATCTTCTCTTTTGACATCAAGTCAAAGCCTCTCTGCAACGCTGTGGGTGATACAGACACAACGGCTCTTTTAAGAGCCAACAAACCGCTTTAGACGCAAACAAGCATTCCAGCTTCCTGTGGTGACCTGGAGATTGTCATGTTCTGTGTCCCTTTGTTCCCCAGCCCCTCCAGTTCCCACTCCAGGTTCTCCTTTTGTGTTTCATGGCGCCCTCATGTGTCCTTTGTCTGTGTCTTTCCCCATGTGTCTCCTAATGTTTCTCCATCACTCTCTGGATTCCCTTTTGTGTTCTCTTAGCGCCCTCATGTGTCCTTTGTCTGCATCTCTGTTGTGTGTCTTAAGTTGTAGCCACAGCCTCTTGTTCCCCAGTTCATAGTTTGTGTGTGTCAGTATGTGTATGTGTTTGTGTGAGTTCTTCCCTTAGTCTTTAGGTTTAGTTTTGTGTTTTAGATAGTGTTAGGTTTATCATCTCTCCACTGGTTCTCTTCCCCATCCAGATAATTGCTGTCACCTGCCTTCCCTCCAGCCTCACTCCACACACCTGCTTCCTGTTTCCCTAATTGCTCCTCCCTGTCTATATAAGCCCTCCTTGTCTCATTGTTCTTGTCGGTCCATTGTTGTTTGTCAGCGTTATTTGTTCTGTCAGTCTGCTCGTTCCTCTGGTGTTTTTTGACTCCCTGGATTTTTGGATTTTTGCTCCCTGCCATTTGGATTTAATTTTGTTCTTCCTCAAAATAAAGGATTTTTACTTTACATATCCACTCCTGCCTTGTGTCATCCTGGGTTCTGCAATTTGGGTCCTACCCTCCTAAACGTGACAGAGATATCTCAAGACTAGTTGGGTCATATCGGAGCTAATTTATGGGTTCCTGGTATCTGCAGGTCCTTGTCCATCCCGACATCGTGACCCCCTGGATCTGAACGGGGACCTCTACACAAAGGGTATCGTAGACTCAACAGATTGCGTCGGATGGTTTTATAAACAAATCTCTAGTTTAACAGACATACAGCCAAATTTATTTTACAACCCAGACTCCACAAACTCTCTGATACTTAACTCATTCACTGCCCGCCGTTTCCTGGTCAGTAAAGCCTTCGCTGCCAGAGTTTTTCAGCGTTTTTACAGCTTTTTTTTTTAAGAATCACAGAACGTTGCGCGCTAGGATGACGTCAACGCCAAAACTAACAAAACAAAGATGAGTCACCTCTTACATCAGGAAGAATCTTTCGAAGAAGAGGCAGCGTTTCGAGCGTTATCCGTTCTTTCATAATCTGTTGTTGAATTGTCATCGGCAGTAGCTTTTCTGGTTCGCATATTTTGGTATTTTCTGGTTTTCTTTTTTTACAGCAGCGGCCCAAAACATGGTCCTAACACATGGATTTTCTGCTTCCCGATCACGTGACGTGTGACATACGTGGATGAAGATTGGCTTTAGAGCTGGGATGTTTGTTCTCACGGTGCGGGGGCTCGTTCCGACACCCACACAGTAAAAAATGCAAATTAAGTCGTCATTGGCAGTGAACGGTTAGATTTAAAATAGTGATGCACCGATATGAAATTTTTGGTCCAATACCCGATATTTGGATCCCTGTTATGGCCGATAACCGATATCGATATGCTGACATTAATGCTTCTAAAATCAGCAGATTTTGTATAGAATAAAAATGATTAAAGCTGAATTTATGTTATTATGCACACACCACACACACATTTACGCTTCTGAGATGATAACAATCTCTGTGACATGACTAAACAAACACACATCACCCCCTCACCCTCTGAAACAGGCAAACAAATGGTGACAAGATGGAAAAAATATCAGTTGATAATATCGGCCTGTTTGTTTTTTTATCGGACCGATACCGATATGTTAAAAAATGACTACCAACGGCTGATACTATAATAATTGAATTTTTATAAACTATATATCCAATAGTATTATAGTTGAACTCTCAAATCCCACTGTGAGCTGCTCTCGTTATACGTCTAGGCTGAGAATCCACTGGTTAAAATGTTTGGGTAGATTTATCTCAACTAGTTAGTTTTGTTGTCCCTCGCTCCCGTTGCAGTTATATCCTGTGATTTTATATAGGATCTTGTTGGTATTAATGTTAATTGGTATCCTTCCTTTTCTTGTGTTTTATTGTATTTTTACTTTTATTTGTATGTTATTTTCTTTTAAAATGGACTTTAGGTCTGGCAATAAACTTATAATAATATATACTTGACTCTGTCTGGATTAACACGAAGTGTGTTTATGGTGCCTGAATAAGTAAAAGTAACTATAATCTTCTGATTAAACATTCAAAGATCAGTCAGGTCAATATTTCATATTTAGATGGGATTATCACATCTGATTGATCATTTGTTACATATGTAGCCACTCCTTAACACTACACCAGTTAATGACTTCATTTTTAAGTTTTTCAATCCATCATAATTTTTGTGTAAGCTTAAGATTCTCAGACGTGGTTACCCTGAGACTTACTGTGAAAGATTAAAGGAAATTCTATGAATTTTGCTGTAGATGAGACTTGATCAATGAAAAAAATGTTTATTCAGTTAAAAACACCAGAATTCACTTGTTCAGACTGTTCTTCAAAAGCATTTAAAAGTTTCCTTCTTTCTTCATAGTAACCCTAATCTAACCCTAATCGTACCTGACAGATCTACGTCACACTGTCAACATTCACCGACTCACCCATCTTTACTCACGACGGGGAACCTGTTGCTGGTTTAGCATCCAGGAAACAGCAGAGAACGTCTCGGCTAGCAGAAGCTAACTGTTAGCATTAGCAACTCCACCACACAGCAGAGCTCCTCCAGGCTTGTGTTATTTGTGGAGATAAAACAACGTTGCAGACCAGAGTCGTTGGTAGAGTCGTGTTGCTGTTAGCCAATCAGAGGAGAGATTTTCCAGACGTCAGGAGCTCACGCTCCAGATCCTGCCGTGTTCCGCTCCCCTCTGATGTGGCTCAATTCTAATTACCGAAACAAAACTTACAAGGCATTCGTTAAAATTACAGATCACTGCAAATGTTTCAGAAATGTCATTAAAGTACCACTTTAAACTTTTTCCTTTAAAGTTATAAACTCAACATAAAGTCTGTTATCAGAGCAGCAGCAGCTCAGGAGGTAGATTGGGTTGTCCAGGAGGGTTGTAGGATCGATCCCGGCTCCTGGCAGAGAAGGCTGCTGTGTCCTTGAGCAAGACACAACCCACCCTACCTGCTGCTGGTGGTGGTCGGAGGGACGGGTGGCGCCTGTGCTCGGTAGTCTCGCCTCTGTCAGTGCGCCCCAGAGCAGCTGTAGCTACATCGTAGCTCATCACCACCAGTGTGTGAATGGGGGAATGATGCACTGTGGTGTAAAGCGCTTTGGAGCCCTCTGACTCTGAAAAGTGATATAAAAGTCTGGCTCATTTATTATTTATTGAACCTTCAGCTGTGAATAACTGCGTCTCTTGTCAGCAGGTCTGGATTTGAAGTTTTATTCTTAAGGATTTAACAGATTATGGGAATTTTTAAGCCCATTTTCTTAACAATGAATCTTAAATTTAACTGTCTTGATGTAATGAAGCTGCTGTTCTTGGACAACCTGATTTCTTTTGCTCTAATTGGTTTTCTTCATGCTTTTGAAATGACTGATTATTCTTTTGGCTCGAAGGTAAATTGAGGGAAATGGGAGTCATGTGGGAATTGAACCTGTGACCTCTCGGTTCTGATCTGCTCTGTCTGCCACCCTGCCATTAGTGATGGAGAAAAACACGTGGGAACAAGTTTTAAAATAGTCTGGGCTGGAAACGAGTGCGGTGGAGAATGTGGGGTTTGCTCACCATGTTAGAATGATGTTTTTGGGTGGAGGAGGTGTTATTTCAGGTCCAGTGTGACCCTTCGGCTCTCTGGCCTGTGATTCAACAACATTATTCAAACTGTGGAAAGTGAGAGACACCAGATATTTCCCATAAATCATTTGGGTTGGGTCCGATACGAAATAAAAGCCATTATCAGATTAAAGACGACCCAGAGTCGATCCGTCCCGGCTCACAGCTGCAGGACGGTTGTTCACGCTGGCTGTGTTTGTGTTGCAGGTCCTGTATCTTCTACAGAGCATGCATGGACATCCCCAGAGGAACGGAGCTGCTTGTTTGGTACAACGACTCCTACACCTCCTTCTTCGGCATCCCGCTGCAGTGCATCGCTCAGGATGAAAACTGTAAGGAAACATGGAGGGCTTTGCCTCGGGAGAGGTTTATTCCTGTTTTTGTTTTAAAAGCAGCTTTTCTTTAAAGAGCAAGTCACCCCCAAATCAACTTTGTTTTCTGATAAACTATATAAATGTGTGTCTAATCGTGCTGCAGACACGTGTAGTCAATAGTTTAGCACTTCAGTGCATTTCAGTAAAAATTTTAATATTCTGCCTAAAAGTGTCAGTGTTGTGCCGTTGTCAGGTTAAAAACTCTGCACTGCATTTGAATTTAAATCTGTCATTGCTATTGGCTAAGAGGTACCCTAGAATGTTAGCTGGTACCATATGATGTCACAATGTCGTTGTGAGCCTGTGTGTGTGTGTGTGTGTGTGTGTGTGTGTGTGTGTGTGTGTGTGTGTGTGTGTGTGTGTGTGTGTGTGTGTGTGTGTGTGTACTTGTTAGCGGCTCCGCCCTCTCGGTCTGCTAGGCAACAGCATTTGTTGCATTTTTCAAACAGGAAGTGGGAGCGGAGGAATACTCTGGTAGGGGGTGACTTGCTCTTTAAATATGCAGCTTGTTCTTTTCGGAGTGGGGGAGAGGGTCTCTGGTATCTGGGCTGATCGGTGGTTGTTCCCCTTCAGCTAGAAGGTTGCAGGTTTGAATCCAGGCATTATCGCATGTTCTCCCCTGGGTATTCCAGTTTTTAATCCCACAGACCAAAAACACGCATGTTAGCTTAATTTATCTGGAATATTAGAAGTGGCTCTGGGTAGACTTGTCTGCTAAGTAGACACACATCTTGGTGTCCTTCCTGAGGGACGGAAGGATGAGATGGACCACGGATCTGGTGAGTTTTCTGCAGGTCTGGGTGTTCTGGTCCATTTGTTTTCCAACCCTCACCTTTGGTGAACTTCGGTGTCCGGGCTCAGCCTTAGAAATAAGGATGAGGAATTCCATCTCCAGGAAGATGGATGGATGAAGGGACATCCGATTTGTTACTGTTTGTCTTCTCTTCAGTTTCCCTCCTTTACGTTCATCCCTTCTTGTTAGAATCAGTTTGCCTCTTTTCTCCTCCGCCCGTCCCTTTTTCCCCCTCTCTGGGTTTTGTTTACCTCCCCTCCAGTTTTCTGCCCTGTCAGCTTGTTTATATTCTTTTCAGTCAAACATGTGTTTCCATGCATCTTACAGAGAAACTCCCTTCAGGGGGAAAAACAAACTTTGACTTTTTTCTTCTGTGATTATTCAGAAAGAAAAACTCAAATGTGAAACAGAAAAGCTGAAGATGGTTTAATCTGGAATCTAAATCCAAGTGAATGAAATTAGAGGCTGGCCTTTAACGGGGCCTTGTGGAAATGAGATCGTGCTGATTGCTAATTAGAGAAGTTTTGGCCACAGTCTGGTTTCTGTTACAGACCAAACGACTCTTTTACGTGACGTTGTTCACCATGACTGGTCTGTGGCAGCTTCTGCAAACATAATCACACACAAATATTTGTTTTACTGCAGTTGTGGGGACCCATGCTTTCTCTGTTACTGAAACAAACAACCAGGCTGAACACAAAAAACTCCTTAAGCTCAGTTCTGTGGGTCACATCAAAGTTCATGTTCACTTTTTTATTCCATCCATTTCAGCTGCTTATCCGGGTCGAGTCTCGGGGCAGCAGCCTAAACAGGGAAGCCCAGATTTCCCTCTCCCCAGCCACTTGGGCCAGCTCCTCCGGGGGAATCCCAAGGCGTTCCCTGGCCAGGTGAGAGACGTAGTCCCTCCAACATGCCCTGGGTCTACCTTTAGGTCTCCTCCCGGTTGGACGTGTCTGGAAAACCTCACCAGGGAGGCGTCCAGGAGGCATCCTGACCAGATGCCCGAGTCACCTCAACTGGCTCCTCTCGATGTGGAGGAGCAGCGGGTCTACTCCGAGCCCCTCCTGAGTGACTGAGCTTCTCACCCTATCTCTAAGGGAGAGCCCAGCCACCCTTCGGAGAAAACTCATTTTGGCCGCTTGTATCCGTGATCTCGTTTTTTCGGTCACTACCCAAAGCCCGTGACCATAGGTGAGGGTAGGAACGTAGATGGAGAGCTTCGTCTTCTGGCTCAGCTCTCTCTTCACCACGACAGACCTGTACAACGCCCACATCACTGCAGATGCAGCACCAATCCACCTATCCATCTCACGCTCCAGTTTTCCCTCACTTGTGAACAAGACCCCGAGATACTTAAACTCCTCCACTTGGGGCAGGACCTCATCCCCGACCCGGAGAAGGCATTCTACCCTTTTCCGAATCAAGACCATGGTCTCAGATTTAGAGGAGCTGATTCTCATCCCAGCCGCTTCACACTCGGCTGCGAACCGCTCCAGCGAAAGCTGAAGATCACGTTCTGATGAAGCCAACAAGACCACATCATCTGCAAAAAGCAGAGACCTGATCCTCAGGCCACCAAACCGGATCTCCTCAACACCTTAAAACTTTATTTCTACTCAAATTCATTAGAGCTATTTATATCCTGGCTTTATTAGTTATAACACACCTGTTATTGGTTTAGTTCACCTTGATGCCTGAACAGGTGTGAGTCTCACCAGAACTACAGAACCGGACCAAAGGAGGGGTTGCTGTAAAGTCTGACACACGTCAGTGACTTGATGCGATCTGCTGGGTTTTTCTAATTTTCATAGAAACTTTTGATGAAGTGTTACTAGGGACGAGTACCTTTCGCTTTTAGATTGATTTGGTACTAAATCCCAGTACCTAGAATTTGATACCGGTACCAATTTTTGATACTTTTGAGTGTTTAATAATTATTTAATTACATATATTTTTCTAACTATATAACCATATTTGATGAATGTCATGATAAATAACAAACTGTTTGTTGAACAAACTTCTTCAACATGTAAACCTTTAATCACACCTGTTTGTAAATGATACAAAAACCAGCTCCATGGACTCCTATTCCTCTCCTTCCACCTCTGTGGATGGGTGGGTCCTCGTAGTTTTATGAACCGGAAATTAAACTGAAGCAAACATCTCAGCCGTGAACTAAAATGACTGCATCTTCGTTCCTTTGGCCATTCATTTTCAAACAGTTGATTTTTCCTGCTCAGAAGTTGGAATTTCTGAGTGCCGAGGAGAAAGCGAAAGCACCATTAGCTCCTAGCAACAGAAACTAAAGTCTAAAGCTAACGTTGTCTTAAACAGTTTATTTACCTGCTGGAGCAGATCAGGACGATGATCGCTCATTTAGAACGCCGTCGACATCGACATCACCCAGCCAACCATCGCATTATGTGACGTAGACCCAATCTTTGGAGCGCGTTCTTCCTACCGTGCTGCTTGCTCTGCTTACATCTCTCCCACAGCGACTGACGACATAACGCTCTTGTGCATGTGCTGCTGTTTATCTTAGGAAATCAGGACTGAACGCTAGTGTGTAAGTGGCGAAAGGTACCGAAACAAGGCACCGTTTCATATCGCATCACTCAGTCCGTGGTCGGAGCCTTAAAAAGTAGCGAATACGATACCCATCCCTAACTGGGGCGACGGTGGCACAGGAGTTAAGTGCTTACCCCGTAATCGGAAGGTTGCAGGTTCGAGCCCCACTCAGTCTGACGCTGTCGTTGTGTCCTTGGGCAAGACACTTAACCCACATTGCCTGCTAGTGGTGGTCGGAGGGACCGGTGGCGCCAGTGCTCGGCAGCCTCGTCTCTGTCAGTGCGCCCCAGGGCAGCTGTGGCTACATTGTAGCTCATCACCACCAGTGTGTGAATGTGTGTGTGAATGGGTGAATGACTGATTGTGTTGTAAAGCGCCTTGGGGGGTTTCAGGACTCTAGAAGGCGCTATATCAAACTGTTAAGGCGTGTTAGCTAGCTCAGGATCAAAACACAAAACCTTCAGGTAGCTCCGCCCCTACACCTACTGACCAATCAGCGGATCCTCATCCACTTTGCGTTGTTTGTAGCTGTCTCTTTGAAATGAGTCTGAGATGCAACTTTTGAGTCGTTTCTCTGAGTGATGACCTCTGACCTTTCGGTAAAACTACTGGAATGTCCAACTGTAATAAATATCGTCCTTGGTAATGACCTTTGACCCTTTTCTGCTTAGCGGGCAGCAACAGTTTCTTCTTTAAGGTCACTGCTATGTCCTTCCTGCTCGGTAGTGTTAACACACGTCTGAATGCTCCGGAGCAGAAACGGTTCAATCGATATTTAGACCAGCAACAAATTAAGGCCTAGTCCACACGTAGCCGGGTTTTTTTTTTAAACGAATATCCGCCCCTCCAAAAACTTGCATCCACATCACCTCGTTTTAAAAACAAACTCTGTCCACACGTACCCGGATAAATAGGTTGTTAAGGACATGCCAGACCTGTAGGCGGCAGTACTTCCCCCGTTCTTAACCTCATTCTTTGTCTGTGGTCTTCTGCAAGGAGCAGTAATTCCGCTTGCAAAAACAAACAAGCAGAAAGCACTTGGACAATTGATAAAGCGAGCGCAGCTCTGAGGGCATCCATGCTGTCGGCTAGTGTAAACACAGGTCGCACACGTGATGTCAGCATTTTTTTTGTCGCGGAAAGTGATGTTGCAGACCTTAAAACTCCGGTTTTGTCTGTCCCCGGCTACGTGTGGACAGGGCCTTGGTCTAGAAATCAGACTGAGTAGCTGAAGCGGTCTTCTTTCGTCTGTGATGAACCGTAAATCTACAGATTACGATTTACACTTTACCTTTTATCCTAAAGTGGTCCCAGAACTCCCAAACCAGTCCCGTCAGAGGAAGCTTTCTGCTAATCCAATCCAATCCAATCCAATTTTATTTATAAAGCGCATTCACAAGGCATTACAACCAAACAAGGCGCTGTACACTAAAAATGTTGGTTAATTAAACAGGCGTTATATAAACATGTCGAACACAGATAAAAGATAAAAAGGAAATACAACAAAATTCCTAAAATAATCTAAAATTTAATAATCTAATAAATAATCTATTTAATAATCTAAAATATTTTAATATCTTTGATGCTGATCCGGATA